GCACAGGTGGGCTTAAAAAGAAAAGCAGCAGTGTTCTGTCTTATTGTCCCTCTGAGCAGGGTTTTAACACAGAATACTTCTGATTGCAGAAAAATCTCAAACATATGAAACGTAGTCTGAAGTATATAATTAACCTCTGTAAACTTATGGCGCTGTTAACGGTGATCCAAATATAGCTGCTTCTGGTTTCAGCCAATTACCCTCCCCACTCCCTGCTCCTTACACACGTCATTTTGAAACGAACCTAGACGTTAGTTGTTTTCACCCATGTTTAAGCGTCATCTGTATATTCTAGACTCTTAAAGAAATAGTACCACATTTAGAAAGTCATTTATTCTTAATGTCACTGGATAGATATCCGGTCATGTTCAGATGTCTCCAACTGCCTCATATTTTATGAGTTTTTTTAGTCTGATCAATAGCCAAATAAAACCAGATAATACAAGCAATAGCTCCTTGTAAGTCTTTTACTTTTATTCACTGCCTTTCTTTTCTCTTTACAATTTGCATAATGAAGAAACAGGGTCATTTGACCCAAATTTTCCACCAACTGTTTCTGCTCATATCCCTATGTCATTTACCTTTGCTTGTGACCCTGTTTCCTGTAAAACGGCAGATAAATCTAGAGACATAATGAGATTTAGGTTCAAATATTTTGGAAAGAGTATTTATAATTGATGTTTTATCCGATTAGGAAGCAGAGATGTTCAGTCAGCCGTCCGTTTATGATGTTAGTAGCCATTGGTGATCACTATGTACACACAATAATTCCTGAATTAATTTAATGGGAAGGGTCCTTTTGGGGTGCCTGTGATTGGGCCGAGGGCCTCACGTATCCTAAGCAATGCTTTGCCAGTGAATTCTACCCAGCCTGTCTCTCTCCTTCATTCACTAGCTGCAATTCTTTTATGAACACAAACTCTCTTGATGACACTTTCTTCATGTGGCTACCTTGGGCTCCACTTCTTACTAGAAAGGCAGAATGAATGCTTGGTTCCACTTTAAAAAAAAACAGACCAACAGTTTTCAAAAACCAGTATTAGTTCCTTAATACCACTGGAAATTAATTTCTTAATTATTTTTTACATTTCTTAGCATCTTTATAAACTTCTGAATTTATTCATTTGTCAGAGACCAGGTCTTATGTAACCTTGGAGCTGTCTTTGGATTCTTAACCTTCCTGTTTTCACCCCCCAAGTGCTGGGATTTCAGATTGGCTTCAAGTACCCAGCTAAAATGCCTGGTTGTAGGACATCAAGGTAGTTATGTATTTTTTTCTTCCTTCCTTCCTTCCTTCCTTCCTTCCTTCCTTCCTTCCTTCCTTCCTTCCTCCTTTCCTTCCTTCCTTCCTCCCTTCCTCCCTCCCTTCCTTTTTCTTTTTCCTTTCTTTTTTTGTTTGTTTGTTGGTTGGTTGGTTTTCTCAAGACAAGGTTTCTCTGCAGAGCCCTGGCTGTCCTAGAACTCACTCTGTAGACCAGGCTGGCCTTGAACTCACACAGATCCACCTGCCTCTGCCTCCTGAGTGCTGGAATTAAAGGCGAGTACCTAGCATGTTTCCTTATCCTATAGGACCAACAAGTTTTCAGTATGATAGTAACACTATCACCACTAATGTGATTACTTAAATAGGACTTAATTAATGTGCATCTTACTTTATTTTTTGGCAATCTTATTATTTTACACTTACTGCAACTCATATGTAGACCAGGCTAGCCTTCGACTCATGACAGTCCTCCTGCCTCTGCCTCCTGAGTTGGCAGAGATTACAGTCATATACTGCCATGAGCAGCCTATTTTTAAGCCATTTGAAATAACCCTTTTATCAAGTCTGCCAGAACATGTACCAAGGATGGAGTCCCATGAGGAGAATTCTGAGTGCTTGTGAGAAACTCCAAGAAAACAAAACAAGAGTCTCATAACCTCAGTTTCTTCAAAAACACAGAACTGTTCTTGGAATGGGCTTTTGTGCCCCTCCCAGGTGCCCTGGATAGGGGTGAGTGAACTTCAGATTATTCATTACAGCTGGCTGTAGCAGTGGCTCTCATCCTTCCTAATGCTGTGACTCTTAAATACAATTCCTCATTGTTTGTGACTCACCCAACCATAAAATTATTTTCATTGCTACTTTATAACTTTAATTTTGATACTGTTCTGAATCATAATGTAAATATCTGTGTTTTCCAGTGGTCTCAGCCGACCCCTGCGAAAGGGTCATTTGACCGTCAAGGGTTGTGACTCACAGGTTGAGAACCACTGGGCTGAATTATTTGTTTATCTGCCTCTATGGAAAAACATGTTTTGTTTTTTTTGCCACGTGTGCTTATCTGCCATGTGAGACTTGCCCCTGTGATTGTACAGTTTACTCACGTGACTCCTCTTAACACTCACTCGAGTATAAATTGTCTGATGCTCTGAATAAAGTTGCTATTGCATAAGACTTTGGCCCTTCTCATTTATCCGCTCCATTCTCCCAGGCCACACTGCCGTTCTAGAGCAGTAAACAAAGTCCATTCGGAAAAAATAAATAAATAAATAAAAATAAAAAATAAATTAAAAAAACAAAAAAAAGAATTTGAAATGGAATCATTCTTAATCCTTTTTTTTCTTTTAGTTCCCAGTATATCTTCCATATGTTGAGACAGTAAGTTTATATATTTATGTAAGTTTTTCACCTATCTGCATTTTATTTATTTAAGATTCATTTTTATTTATCTCTGTGTGACTGCATCTGTGTGTCAAGTGTGTGCAGGTGCCCTCAGAAGCCAGAAGAGGGCATCAGATCTCCTAGAACTGGAGTTCCAGGTGGTTGTGAGCCATCCGGTGCTGGGACTGAACTCAGAATCTTTGGAAGGGCCCCCAAGTGCTCTTAACCACTGAGCCATCTTTCCAGCTCCTGTAAATACCTTTAAGCAGAAAATTATAGCCTGTTAAATGGCTTAGAAGGCTAAGGCACTTGCTGCCACGCCAGATGACCTGCATTTTATCCCCAAGGCACACATGATAGAAGGAGGGAATTGACTCCCCAAAGTTGTTCTCTGATTACCACGTGAATGTCATGGCACTCTTAGAGGCCCACATACATACGTATACACACATGAAATAAATATACTTTTAAAAAAAAACATACAGCTGGGTGGTGGTGGCGCACGCCTTTAATCCCAGCACTAAGGAGGCAGAGCCAGGCGGATCTCTGTGAGTTCGAGGCCAGCCTGGTCTATAAAGCGAGATCCAGGGCAGGCACTAAAGCTACACAGAGAAACCCTGTCTCGGAAAAAAAAAAAAAAAAAAAAAGAAAAAGAAAAAAAATAATTGATTCTTTTCTCTTCTCTTCCTTTTCTGTAAATGGCTCTGAGTAACAATACTCATCTTCTATTACCTCATTGTATCATTAGAAGATATGTCACTGTGATTCAAATTTGGGAGGAATAGAGAAACATTACAGGGAAAGAAAGCTTGAGGTTGTTATTTTTAAAATTAGGTAAGATGTAAAATCTTGGGACTTAAATTCACAAGAGCTCAAACTAGAAAAAAAAATAAACTTCACCTATTCCTGCCATAATCTGCTGACTCATAAGAAACATGGTGGAAAGTAGTTTTCCCTGTTGGCATGCAAAAGGATGCCTACTAATAAACATTGGGTGGTTGTGTCGGTCGTCTGTCTCTATTAATAAAGTCTGAATATACAGCATTTAAAAAGGAAGATGAGTAACAGTTAACTGTGAATTAAAGCTACTGGCCATATCATAGAAATCATTTTAGACAAATTTAAACTCAAGGGGTCTACCCTAAATTCCAGTGCCATATAAAACTACTCAGTGCATAAATACACACATTTCTGCATATAAGATTAATAGAGAAGAACTGACTTCTCAGGGTTAGGGCACAGATTCAGGTGGATGTCAAATTTAAAGATTTATGTTTCCTCCTAAGAGCAATATCTAATTGTTTATCAAATTTTATTTCCTCTAGGCCACTGCTAAATGGAGCTAGAATATAATATCTTAGTAATTCTATTTATAGAATTCAGTCTCTTCACTGTAACAGTAAAATTTATGTAAATCGGCATACATTTAAAGCAGTGTACATGTATCATTTATATAGAAATTACTGGAATAATAGGAAATCACATCAAGAAAATTGTATTTTCAGAATTCTTTCTTCACAAAGTTTTCTGGATCTTTTTATTGAGCTGCTTTTACAACCTGCTTAAAAGCTTGGGATCTGAAACCAGTACCTGGGTTTGGATCCCAGCCACACTTGATGACCTTTGGGCAAGGTATTTTGATTTTCTGAAGTTTCTTTGCCTATAGATTGGGACTGGTCATTGAACTTGGCCCATAGGGGTATTGTGAGGATCAAATGAATTAACATCTACAAAGTGCTTGGAGGGCCTGCACAGAAATACTGTGTGAATGTTTGCCATTACTATTATGACAGTTGTAGTTAAGACTATCAGCAATTACTGCTAAGAATGCAAATTGTGGGGCTGGAGAGATGGCTCAGAGGTTAAGAGCACCGACTGCTCTTCCAGAGGTCCTGAGTTCAATTCCCAGCACCCACATGGTGGCTCACAACCATCTGTAATGAGATCTGGTGACCTCTTCTGTGTATATAATAAATAAATAAATCTTAAAAAAAAAAAAGAATGCCAATTGTGACAATGTTGTATGGAAATATTTTATTATCTGTTTCATTAGGAAATTGTGACGTGGCTTAAACATGCTGGAGTCAAATGATTTCCCAGGAAAATACATTCAAATGAACGCTAAGATTTATATGGAAAAGTCACTTTATATTGATCTATTTTCTCCAACAAATATCTGGTTTCATGCTGCTTGTAAAAGAGTGTGCTATGGACTGTGGGAATGGGAGGATGACTCACATCTGGTTGTTGATGACAGTTGTCTAAGAGAGTGTAAATAATCGCGGGTCACTGAGGTGGAAGGCAAGTGATGTAGTTAAAATGGTGATAGGAATGAGGAAACTTCCTGAAGGTGCTTGTATCTGAATTATAGCTTGAAGGCTGAGCAAGACTTTCACCCGCAGAGAAATGAGAACTATGCTGTATATAAAGGAAAGGTGTGTTTTGCTTGGAGCCTGCTGTTCGTTCCTGCAAGAGGAACAGAGTTACATCATGGTAAGAACACAGAAGACAAGAGGATTCCTTGCTCAGCCCTCAGTGGGATGTCGCTAAGGTCTTTCTTCCTTTGTTCCTTTCCTTTTTCTGTGATGAAGTCTTGCAGTTTTGCCCATGCTGTGACTCCTAGGGTCATGTTATCCTCTTGCCTTTCAGCCTCCCATAGAGCTGGACTATAGGTACACAGCCCTGCCCTCAGCTAACGTGTGTGCTTTCTTAAAAACAACTTTTAGATTTATTTTATTTCATGTGTATAAGTGTTTTGTCTGCATGTGTGTCTGTGCACTGTGTGTGTGTGTGTGCACCGTGTGTGTGTGTGTGTGTGTGTGTGTGTGTGTGTGTGTGTGTGTGTGTACAGTACCTGTGGAAATCAGAAGAAGGCATCAGATACCCTGGAACTGGAGTTACAGTTGGTTGTGAGGCACCATGTGGGCACTGGGAATCAAATCTGGGTCCTCTGCAAGAACAAGTACTCTTAACTGCTGAGCCATATTTGGCCCCCTTGTCTGTCTGTCTATCTATCGTTCTATCTATCTATCTATCTATCTATCTATCTATCTATCTATCTCTTAATTATTTTGAGACAAGTTCTCATTCTAGGGCCAAGGCAGAACTAGACTTGATGGTCCTTCTGCATCAACCTCCTGAGTGCTAGGATCACAGCTGTGTGTTGCCATCCTTGGCAGGTTTTGCACCCCCTCCCCCTCCCACACACTTTTTTTTAAAGCAAGGTAAAACATAAAAATACAAAATTAACCATTCTAATACAATTCAACGACATTTAGTATGTTCATAATGTTATATATATATATATATTTTTTTTTTTTTCTTTTTCTTTTTGTTTTTTGAGACAGGGTTTCTCTTTGTAGTTTTGGTGCCTGTCCTGGAACTCACTCTGTAGACCAGGCTGGCCTCGAACTCACAGAGATCTGCCTGGCTCTGCCTCCCGAGTGCTGGGATTAAAGCCTTGTGTCGCCATCCACCCACCCCCCATTTTTTTTTTAATAACATATACTTACCTCTTTTGCTACTGTTTCTAGTGATTTTCATTTCATTTCATTTGCATGACATAGATATGTGTTTCCAGAAGTCTGGGCTCATTTTCTTTGTCTGAAGGGATTTCTTGAACTTTCCTGTGTGCGTCTGTTGGCTGTGAATTCTTTCAGCTTTTATGTCTCTGTGTTCATGGAACTTGTGAGATTTGAGTTTGGCTGTCTTCAGATTTGGGGCAGTGTCCGCCACCGTCGCTGTAAATGTCGTCTCTGAGATCCCCTTCCCCGTGTCATCGTGTGCAGGGGATCTAGTTGTAGATATCCCCTCTTTAATTTTTTTTTTGAATTTTAATTCCTTTTTCTCCACGTAGTTCATTTTAGGAAGTGTCTCCTATCTAAGTACCTGCTAATCCAAGTCACTGCTATTTGTCCTGTTTCCGTTCTAAAAGTTAGATGCTGAAATTTATTCCTTCCTTATTTCTACTGAAAATTTTATCTCTGTTACCGTTATAAACTATCTTAATATCCTATTCCGTTAATTCTCACATCTGTGCCAGCATGGCTCAGTGTCAGTGTTTGGCTTTTCTCATCATTGTGAGTTATACTTTTGTGTCTTATAATACTGGATGTGAGATATTTAATATTGACTATTGAATGTCGGCTATTGTAAATTTTGTTTTCGTGTGTGCTAGCTATTTATATCTTCATATAATTGTGATTGAATTTAATGGGCTATGGAGGTAAACAATGGAAAGCAGCTTGTTCTTTCACACCATACTACTATGATTTGTTTTTTTGGGTTTTTTTCCTTTTTCTTTTTTCTTTTTTTTCTTTTTGGTTTTTCGAGACAGGGTTTCTCTGTGTAGCTTTGCGCCTTTCCTGGAACTCACTCTGTAGCTCAGGCTGGCCTTGAACTCACAGAGATCTGCCTGCTTCTGCCTCCCAAGTGCTGGAATTAAAGGCGTGCACCACCACCACCACCACCACCACCACCACCACCACCACCACCACCACCCGGCCTATGATTTGTTTTTAAAAAATTAGAACCAGCCGGGCGGTGGTGGCGCACGCCTTTAATCCCAGCACTCGGGAGGCAGAGCCAGGCGGATCTCTGTGAGTTCGAGGCCAGCCTGGTCTCCAAAGCGAGTTCCAGGAAAGGTGCAAAGCTACACAGAGAAACCCTGTCTCGAAAAACCAAAAAAAAAAAAAAAAAAAAAAAATTAGAACCAAACAGCATTTAGATCAGGGCTAACTCCTCCCTAGAACTAAGGCAAGACTGTTCTGAGTCTCTACCCAGCTGAGCAGGGAGGTTTCTAGGTGGGCTGATAGAGCAGCCACTATTCCTGGCTCTCTGAGTGTCCAGTAGGTCTGTGATGCTTTCAGTTGCTGTGTTCAGTTCGGGCCCTCACAGCTCCTCACATGCTTGTATCATCAGTACTGTGAAGTTCTCCAGGACCTCTGGGGCTCTCTGTGCAGTTAACTGGCTCTCATGCTTGTCCTGTGAGCTCCACACATTCTCCCCAATTGATGTTTCTACTTCCTCAACTCCAGGAGTGTGCTTGAATGTCCCTTCTGGCCTGTGAGGTCTCGGAGCACATGGTGTAAGCCCTGCTTGGTTTTCTTCTCTGAAGGATTGCCTGATATTAGCATCTTGGAAACTACTAGTTTAGATATATTATCTGATCTTTTTCTGGTTGGCTCATGCGGGAGGGGCAAACTGGTCCTTGTTACCCTATAGTAGCTAGATTCAGAAGCTCCAAAGCTCCCTTTTAAGGGCCACCTTACATTTTGATAAGAGGAAAAATTCTAGAGTTTGTACCTGATAGCCCTTCTACACTCACGCTCTAAACAGAAGGTGACTGCTGTTAGGTTTGCTTGTTTAATACTTCTTAAACCTCCAGAACATTCTAACAGTTTGTTGTTAATAGTGATTATTTGAACCAGGCGTCCTTCAGAGCCCAGGAGACTCCTTGTAAAGTCCCAGTGACATTTTCAAAGCACAGGGGGCCACTGACAGGTTGCAAAACACTTTTCACTCTTGCTTGGTAGCTGGCTCCACTTCTGTTGTGTGGGTGAGACTGCAGTTAAGGAAATGTACTAACCACCGGAATAGTAGTAGTGCTCCCTAAAAGGGGAACTGTAAACTGAACGTTCATCTCTGGAATGGTCAAAACCATCCTGGTCCAACTCTGAGACATGTTATGTGATTTGCATTTTAGCCTTGAGGATTTCGTTGAAATTGAAAGAGGAAGCCAGTATCTTACTTGCATGGGGGGATGAAAAGATCAGAAGTTGAATTACAGCAGGGGAAAGCAAGAGCTCGAAGAATGTTGACAATAAACATAGACTGACCCATGCTTTTTAAGAATCTGTGATGGCTATGTCACTTGTTCTGGTAATGGAGAGAAAGAGTAGATAGAGTATTTTCCTTCTTTGCTGGGTGAGCTGCACACCTTTAATCCCAGCACTGGGGGCGGGGGCAGAGGCAGGCGGATCTCTGTGAGTTCGAGACCAGCCTGGTTCCAGGACAGCCAGGGTTATGTAGAGAGACCCTGTCTCAAAACAAACAAACAAACACTAAAGAAAACCCAAGCTATTTTCCTTTTTTGTGCTCTGGCCACAGGACCCAAGGCCTTGCACGCTACCACTGAGGTGTATACATATTCAAAGCTCCTGCTTTTTATTTTTTATTATCTCCATGAATCTCAAGGATTTAATCTTCAAAACAAGTCCAATTTAATAACTGCCTATCTTCTCAATTTTATATGAGCCAAGCCATAATATTGCCACTCTTAGCTTTTGGTTAGTGTGATATGGCTAGTGTTTCAGTATCATACTATTTTAATAATGAAAACTAGAGAATCTTGTTGCTGGTAACTTGAAAAGCCGAATTGTAGTTGGATATCGAATTTTAGTTAGGTTTCTTGAGATATTGAAAACCAGATTTTCTGCTTGAAAGTTCTGGGGTCTGGGGACATTGTGGTTTTGGAGATAAACGTTCTGAGTAACAGAACAGTAAAAGGCAGCTCAGCTAAGTACCATGTTGAACACCATAGCAGTTATCATCCTAGACCTGTGATCTAGGTAATTGTATCAGGACAAAGAAGAGGCTACTCCGGGCTGAGACAGCATAGGACTGTTAGCTACATGCTGTGGGTATCAAGGAGCCAGTCTGTCAGCGACTGATGTATATACAAGAGAAAAGCTGGGGGTTTGCTAGAAAGTAGATTAGGGTCAGAGTGAAGACCCTGAGTTCTCTGAATTTGTGCTTTTGTCAAAGATGGCAGTAAAAATCAGGGAAAGTCATTGAAGAGACTCAGAGCCAGGTAAAGTCGAGGATCTAGGGACTTCTGTGGAGAAGATGGGACAAAGGTTTGATCTTGGACAAGTGTGTCATTGTTATTATTACACACAGGAAATTCGGGAAACAGCCTGAATGGAGCGATGCCATGCCATAGATCCCAGAAGCGGTTTGGTTTGGTTTGGTTCTGTTTTTAAGTCTCACTTATTTTATGAACACTGATGATCCATTCCTTCTGTTCCTTCATAGAGTTGGGCCTAGGAAGACAAACTCTGGAAGGTCATTTAGACAGTATGAGGCCACCTTCATTTTCCTGATATGTAAATTGAGGGCTTTGTATTTTGTGACTTCCCTGTACGACACTGAGTGCCGCTGGCCTCTTGCATTCATTTCTGAAGTCCTCTACACAGTAGGGGTTACTGTGTGTCAGTTTCTACTTTTTTGGTAAAGTGAGTCCCGTTTTCCCCTGCTTTTTTTTTTAATTACTATCAATCAAATGAGTTGATTCATGTCATTTTCAAACTTAGGTAGATGCTTTCATAGTTAAAACAGTTCAAGGACCCTTGCTTTCTTCTCTCCATATATCTAATCATAAACCATGAAGCAACACATTATAGACATTCATGTCCACAAAAAAAAAGAAAAGAGAGAAAGAAAGAAAGAAAGAAAGAAAGAAAGAAAGAAAGAAAGAAAGAAAGAAAGACCAACCTGGGGGAGGGCGCACGGGGCTGTAGTTCAGTGACGGAGCCCTTGCCTTGCTTGCAAGAGGCCCTAGATTCAATCCCCAGCACTGAAAAATAAATGCAACTTACAGATCCTAATTGGCATTTATGTTGCCGATCTAAACTTGAGCCACACTTACTCCATAAAAGGAGTGTTCTTCCCAGTGAGCCCAGCAAAAGAGGCTGTTTTTACAGCCAGAGCAGCCCTGAAAAAGGGGAATCGTAGAAAAAGGGGGTTCGTTATTAGTCAAGTTGCTTTCCTAATACGGTAGGGACAGGGAAACCGAAGACAGAAAAGTAACTGATTGGTTAACAGCAGATTTCTTAAGGTTAATTTTTGTAACAACTAAAGGGTTTAAGTGAAGGATTATTGGCCTATTCAGAAAATTTCTGTATCTTTCATTTTCCTGTCGGAGAAGGTGAGATAATTTTAGTGCCGTGGGACTTCAGTGAGTGCATTTTGATTTTCAGTCCAAACTGTTGGTGCCTAGTACAGGAGCTGAGTCTAAGACAGGTCTCCTGAAGGTCTTATTTATGCCAAATTTGGCTTGGGTTTGACAAGTCTGCCCTCTTAAATGTTCCCGAGAGAGGGGGAATGGTTATAATTTAAGCTGGGGGTGAGGAGTCTTACCTGTGGTCGGTGCCCATAATTCCTTCCCTCCTCACTGCCCAGGGTCTCAAGAAGCCGAGGGTGCCCTTGAACTGGCTGTGTAGCAGAGAAAGACCTTGAATGTCTGATCCCTTTGCTCCCAACTCCAAGTCTGCTTCATCCATCCATCCATCCATCCATCCATCGGCAGGGTCACATGGAGTCCAGTTGGGCTTTGAACTCATTCTGTAGTCAAGCCTGCCTCAGCCTCTCAAGTGCTGATTGCAGATTGAGTGCGACACCATGCACACCCTCCCACCCCCTTATAATTTTTTAAAGGAAACAGGAGGGCCTGAGATAAAGGTTGATTGCGGAATTGTTTTCTTTGCCCCTCTGAATACCCTTCCGAGAGACTCTTTCTTTGCATGTGGAACAATGAATGTGTGTGTGACTCCCACCTTGACTGGGTAGCTGAGTGAGCCTTGCTGTGTCACTCTTAGGAGCTCACCTTAGCCGGACCCTGGAGAAAGAGCGTTGTCTTTTCCACCGCAAGCCTCTTCGCTTCAAGCCTGCAGGACTTTCTTCTCTTCCCTCTTCCTGTGTCCCTCCCTTCCGTCCCCACCGCCCTCCATCCCCAGGTTCAACCCCGGCTCAGGGGGAGGGGAGGGAGCGTCAGGCTTTATTTACTTGGGACCTCTCGGGATGCGGTCTGCGGAAACCTTTGTCAGGCGCCAGGTGACTGGCGGGGGCAGGTCACGGATGTGGGCGGGGCTCCCGGCGCCCTGGGGGCAAGTGTCGCGGCCGGCCGGGCTAGGGTGGCGCAGCCGGGTGGCGCTTGCAGCTTGCCACGCGCAAGGGCCGGGTCCCCGGAGGTGAGCATGCACCCGGTGGGCATCGGGTGGGCCGGGTGGCCGCAGGTGTGTCCCGGGAGTGGGGCGGGGCGGGAGGGCGAGTGGGCGGGCCCTCGCGGGACTGGACGCAGGCCAGTCCCCGGTCCCGCTGGAGCTGCGGCTCTGGCCACCGCACTTGCTCCGGAGGGAGGAGGCTCGAGTGGTTCCACACACGCCCTTCACAAGCCCCCGGGAACCTCAGGTAGTGTACAGTCTTTATGTTCCTTAAAATACACGGCCTGGTGCTTGGTTCAGGACTTTGACTTGGGGTCGCCCGCCGGCACGGAAAGGTTGCCACTAGTAAGGGACTGTTGGAGGTCGCCAGGGTTCCAGTAGGGAGCATGACTTGGGAGATTAGCGCGCAGGCTTCTTAATTGGAATACCTGAGCTCCGGTATACTTATTAACCAAAAAACTTGAGCGGTTTGCTCAGCTTCTGTGCGCCGTGGATTTCAGGTATGTCCGATGATGGTGCTGGTACTTGTAATCTTCCTGGATTGTTGTGAAGACTGGGTTAATACTAGTGCCTGGCAACGAATGTTGGTTATTTTCGCTCTGCATTCTGATGAGCATGAATCTCTAAGGCTGTCATTTCTGGGAATCGACGCCTCTCCTCAGAGCTGTTGTCTGAAGTGCTTGCGAGAGCCCTTGGAGACAGTGTTTGTGAACTGAGAACTAGTACTGATGAGGGTAGTCTGATCATCACTTTGTTTGAAATCAGTTCCTCCCTAAACGTTACAAACACCTCCTTTTTTCTTCTGTTGTGGTGCTTGGGATGGAACACCACCCCCAGTTCCCAGCACATGTCTGCCCATGAACTAAACTACACCCCCGTACTCACAAACCTTAGTTTTGAGGACTATTCTAAAGGAAGGATGGAATAAGATACTTTTTAGGGTGAGTGTAACCTCATTTTGAGAGTCGAGGTAGATTTGTTAGAAACCAGTTCTTATAGCTTGATGCAAAACTTGTGTTGTTTGCGGTGAATGCATATTTTGTGCTATACTATTGCAGGAATGCGTAAACCAGAGCACTCAAAATACGTAAGCAGACATCATCTGAGCAATAGCTTTCCACATAGAAGCAGGATTGAAAGAGTTGGGGCAGACAGATGTGGTTACAAGAGTGGGCTTGTAACCTTTGCACTCAGGAGCCAGAGACAGGGAAAATTCAAGGCCAGCCTGGGCTTCATAGTTAGTTCAAAGCTAGACCTGTCTCCAAAAAAAAAAAAAGGGGGGCAAGAGAAAAAAAAATCTGAAAAGTCAGTCGTCAGTCCTGCTGGTCTTTACAGATAAGGATTTGTCTAAAGACCTAGAACCGATGAACGGCGGAGCTTAGAGCTCAGCTCTGCTGATCAACAAATTATAAAAGCAAAGGAAGATGTTACTTAGCGTTTTCATGGGAGTTACTGTTTTTATTTTTGACAGTTTTATGGTGTTGTGAGTTCCTTCGCTCAGCAACATCCTGCTTGGTAGCTTAATTGCATGATTCATAATCATTCTTCAGCACCTTTGATTTAAATCACAAGTCTGGAAGTTGCTGCATCAATTATTGCTTTGAGAACCAGATGATTGTCTTGAGCTTTGTACAAACATGTCCAACAGTGCTTTGCTGTTGTTTCTCTGTGTGCAGAAGGGATAACCAATGTAAATAAACTGACCTCGTTGACAGTTTGTTATCAGTGTGTCATGGGTGAAGTTTTCTCAGATTGGGTAGGAGACCGCCAGGAAGTGGTGATACCCAGAATGCTAGCCCTGAAATGTGAATGGAGAGGTTGTGTGGCAACGGAGCTGCTCACTTCAAAGGCTTTCAGAGTAAAATTGTTTTGAGACACTGGTGTGTTAGTTGCTGACTTCTGCGCATTGCTCACTCCCTCACCTCTGGGTATTTGTTCAGATGTTTCCTTCTTATTTAAAATTGCACACAACCGCACACTTCCTATAACATATACTTAACTGTTTATCTAATTGCTCATCTGTCTGTCACCAGAGGCTCCGTGTGGCCAAGGCTGCTTACACTTGTGTTCCCTGCTCTATCCCGAGTGCCAAAGACACTGGCTGTGCAGCTTTGAACCGATAACCTCCAGCACAACTAAAGTCACTTCAGCTAATGTTCGACTCGACTCCTTGCCTTGCCCGCCCTCCCCTCTGCCTTCAGTCACTTCCATGCTGCGGAGGAGCAAAACTTGGAGGCAATGTTTAATTCCCCCATACCTTGCACTTTGCAGGCGAATAGCTACTAAGTTTTTCCACCTTTTTTGTTGTTCAAACAGGCCACCCCCACTGTTGTTGAGTCCTCTTCTGTTCCATCTCCAGCAGCTACAGGCCCGCAGTTCCCCTTTTCGAAGGCTTTCACTTCTGCAGCTTGGGAAGCCAAGTGGTCGGTCATTCATCTTCCTCCGACATGGTGGTCTCAAATACACTGTTTCGGCCTCTGTGCCCTACAGATAGATAAAAACAGTGATCCCGACTTAGGCTTTTAAATATGAAGGTTCTAGGGGCAATGCTTTGTAAAATCCCAAGGTGAGTATTGATTGCTTCCTGATAGTTGTTTTTGTTAATGACTTGGTAGCTTTCCTCAGTGTGAGCGGACATTCAGAAAAACTGACCTAGTAGCTAGCTATTCCTTGGTTGTGAAGAAGACCTCTGCTGCTCTCTCTCTTTAAAGTGCCCCACCCCCACGCTGCCCATACCACAGCACCCCCACATTCTGGATGAGTTTAGTTGGAGTTGGTTTACCCTTTGTCAGGGTTCTGGTGGTCGCTTTCCCAGAAATTGATCAGTCTTCTTTGACTTGTGATTCTTTTAGTGTTTTTCTTTTAATCTGCTGCTGCATCTAAACAGGACATGAGAAGTATGCATGCAAAATTTCCATATTTTCCTTCTTTACATTTTTTCCAGTTACCTTTAAAGGAAACATGAGGCCGGTGTATCTGCATGAGGCCGGTGTATCTGCTTTTTGAGTGTGAATTCAAGTTCTAATAGACCTTCAAATCGTTAAAGATGGGCAATCACAGCTTGTGTTGAGAGTAGGGTCTTAGAAAGATGGCAGGGAAATTGAATAGGAAGGAAAAATGGTAGAGATGAAAACATTGTGTGTAGGTTTTTAAGGGAGTAGGTGTAGGTAGAGCAGTATACTTTGGTGCATACCAGGCGGGCAGATGTTTTTAAAAATATATATATATTATGCTAACCTCACTCAGGAAGTTGTCAGGACATCTGCAGCTTTGGATTTTCTTGTGGAGTATTATTCCTAAACTGTGTTTTGTTTTTATATCTCCGGGCACACATAGTCCTGTTTCTCTGCTTTGTTTTCTGAGCTGGGTGGGATAGAACATTCTCTTCTTCTGTTTGGCTCTGACCTCATGCAACGTAATTTCTCTCTGTCTGTCTCCTCCCCACCCTCAGATATGGTCTCTGTGTAGTCTGGGGTGGCCTTGAAGTTCCCGTCCTCCTGCCTCCGCCTCTCTGAGGGCCTGCCTGGCTTTGTTGTATTTAATCTTAAAATATGCTCATACCTCTTTCTTAGTTTGTTTTCCTGTATGTGTGGAGAAGATACATCCCAGAGTTTTTATGTTATTGGAGGAGTGTGCTCGCTACGGGTTTGTTGTTGAAGCTTATGGTTTTTGCTTGATACCAGCATTTGGTTTAACAAAGTCGTATATGATTGTACATTAAAAAATGTGTCTGTGTACATATTCCACTTGAGTCATTGTTTTTATTTTACTTGTGATGCTTTCAGAAATATACTTGATTCAAGAATTTAGTCAAGAAGCTGAAATAGGAGGAACTGGAATTGGAGACCAGGCTGAGTAAGACCTCCCCCACCCTTTAAGAATTTGAAACATTTCTGCAGTTCAGTTTTTATCTCTTTTCCTGTTCCATCCCAGACTGAGCTCGATTTTTCTGTGTTGGGGTATGCACCAGCCCAGCTTTGTTCTTGAGTGTGAATATGTAGGCCGATATAGGTCTGGATTTATTTCACCTTTCCTGGAATGAAGCTTGCAGTTACCAATACAGAAAAGAGTTACTAGGGAAAACTATATGTAAAGGTCTTAATTTTAGACATTTTACAACTTTAAATTAGAATTTTATGTATTGCTTTGGCTAGTGGTATGGTTAGTAGGTCAAGACGTGAATCATGTACTGTAATTTCATTAAGTACTATAATTTCAATATGTAATAGGTTATAATTAGTGTGCTTTGAGGAATATCTTCAAATTTGATAACCAATAAAGCTTACTTTCAGGAGAAATTTTGAAACCAAATACTTGTTCTGGAGTAAAATTTCCTTTCTTATACTACGTAAGCATCTGTGTTTATCCAAATCCTCCTTGTTTCTGAGATGCCTTTATTAAGGGTATGATGAACAACAGAATTCTCAGCACACAGGAAGCACCGTGCACGTAAATCTGTGTTTTGAGGGAGCATTTTATTAAGACACCACAGCCTAGTGGTATGTATAATGAAGGGACTGATGGAGTAAAGAGGGAGAAAGTGCTGATTCAGAAGGCTGACCAAGCACTTAGGAGCTTCTGGTAACCAGAAGATCTTTCCAGCTCACTGTATCGGCCGGAACTTCTGAGCATATCTCAGAGTTAGCCCCAAGCTATGGTGGGAGGAGTGGGGTAGAGGCAGGTTAGAATGGAAGCAGAGATAGCAGGTTGAAGTCTCAGCTGGTAATTGTTGAGTTTGTGTGTTTTGTGTTGGGGGAGGTGTGTGTCCTCCATCTGAA